ACAAAGTCTGGTCATCTGATCCTGTTTGGGGACCAAGACTACCGGGGATGCCCTGACGGCACCATTCCCTCTGTCTCTTTGGCACATTCAGTCTACACTTCCTGTGAGATGAGGTTGGCTGAAGGCATGGGGGGAAAAATACACCCTGCCGTCCAACTCGTGAACAGCACGGTGAGCTCTCCCCGGGTTTTCCTGAACTCTGCCTCTCCGCCTTCAAATAATTTTTGCTCATTTTCTCATATTCTGCTGCCCCAGGCATAATTGCAAGCAAAGATAAAAGTAGAAAAAGGAGCTGTTGCTATAAGTCTCTCTCTCTCTCTCTCTCTCTCTCTCTCCCTCTCTCTCCCCCCCCCCCCCTCTCTCTCTCTCTCTCTCTCTCTCTCTCTCTCTCTGTGTGTGTGTGTGTGTGTGTGTGTGTGTGTGTGTGTGTGTGTGAATAAATAAAATATGCACCACTTGTTTCTAAGGACTGTTGGGAAGCCCCCCACTACCCCTACCCCAAATCCATACCAGGACCTTCAAACTGAATTAATTTTTCTTTGCTAAAATGTGACTGAACAGATGATGCCCCGTGTGAAAGTGGCCTAAATCACAAACAAAGTAACAAACCCTTAGCAGGTAAAACAATAAACACATAGACTTTGAGTATGCAGCTGTTTGTCTGGAGTTCTACTTTACCAAAGTGAGATCTGTAATATCTGTTTTAGTAGTGTTGATAATTTAATATACACAAAAGGCAGATGTGAAATTGTTTATTACCAGGAGCAGTACTTTCACAGAAACATTTACTAAAAAAAATAGAGTGCCAGAGCCTTTTCACTTTCCAGCTTTGAATGTCAGAACCCTTTTCTTTCCCTTTCCACCCTTGAGTCCTGGAGCCTTTTCTCCTTTGCACCCTTGAGCCATGGAGCCTTTTCTCCTTTCCACCCTTGTGTCCTTGAGCCTTTTTCCTTTCCACCCTTGTGTCCTGGAGCCTTTTCTCCTTTCCACCCTTGTGTCCTGGAGCCTTTTCTCCTTTCCACCCTCGTGGCCTGGAGCCTTTTCTCCTTTCCACCCTCGTGGCCTGGAGCCTTTTCTCCTTTCCACCCTCGTGGCCTGGAGCCTTTTCTCCTTTCCACCCTCGTGTCCTGGAGCCTTTTCTCCTTTCCACCCTCGTGTCCTGGAGCCTTTTCTCCTTTCCACCCTCGTGTCCTGGAGCCTTTTCTCCTTCCACCCTCGTGTCCTGGAGCCTTTTCTCCTTTCCACCCTCGTGGCCTGGAGCCTTTTCTCCTTTCCACCCTCGTGGCCTGGAGCCTTTTCTCCTTTCCACCTCGTGTCCTGGAGCCTTTTCTCCTTTCCACCCTCTGTCCTGGAGCCTTTTCTCCTTTCCACCCTCGTGGCCTGGAGCCTTTTTTTCTTTCCACCCTCGTGGCCTGGAGCCTTTTCTCCTTTCCACCCTCGTGGCCTGGAGCCTTTTCTCCTTTCCACCCTCGTGGCCTGGAGCCTGGAGCCTTTTCTCCTTTCCACCCTCGTGGCCTGGAGCCTTTTCTCCTTTCCACCCTCGTGGCCTGGAGCCTTTTCTCCTTTCCACCCTCGAGCCCTGGAGCCTTTTCTCCTTTCCACCCTCGCCTGGAGCCTTTTCTCCTTTCCACCCTCGAGCCCTGGAGCCTTTTCTCCTTTCCACCCTCGAGCCCTGGAGCCTTTTCTCCTTTCCACCCTCGAGCCCTGGAGCCTTTTTTCTCGCCCTGGAGCCTTTTTCCTTTCCACCCTCGAGCCCTGGAGCATTTTCTCCTTTCCACCCTCGAGCCCTGGAGCCTTTTCTCCTTTCCACCCTCGAGCCCTGGAGCCTTTTCTCCTTTCCACCCTCGTGTCCTGGAGCCTTTTCTCCTTTCCACCCTCGAGCCCTGGAGCCTTTTCTCCTTTCCACCCTTGAGCCCTGGAGCCTTTTCTCCTTTCCACCCTCGAGCCCTGGAGCCTTTTCTCCTTTCCACCCTCGAGCCCTGGAGCCTTTTCTCCTTTCCACCCTCGAGCCCTGGAGCCTTTTCTCCTTTCCACCCTCGAGCCCTGGAGCCTTTTCTCCTTTCCACCCTTGAGCCCTGGAGCCCTTTTTGCTGTTTCCTTGTGGTGCATGGAAGCAAAACATTTGTAGCATTAAGATAAAATCAAGTCAGGTTTGTGCAGATAAAAATTGCCATGACATTGACTTTTTCACAATTCACAATTATATCGTACTCGCTTACGTGTTTAATAAAGTTGTTGGGAACCTGTGGATAAATGGGGAGGGGGGAGATTTTCAAAGTTGACCTCTAGGCAAATCGCAAAATACACAGGAAATACAAATATGGGAGTTGTTTTACCTTCCAAAGAATTTGTATTTCATTCCGTTGGTCTGAGATTTACACAGCTCTTCCCAACAGCGCAGCCTGCTTGGAGGTCTGATGTCTCCCTACTTCAGGTACAATAGATCTTTCCCATGCCTTGAATCTGTGATTGGACAGTGAAGAAGCAGCAGGCTGATGAGTTACTCATTTTGCTCTCCCTTTTGTCACAATTGCCCTTGTTACAAAAGAGCAGTGTGGCACAACTGATTGGCTCCTTGGAAAGCTTCTTTCTCTTCAGTCTGAGCTCTGTTGTGCAGGGGTTCAAATGAAGGGTTGCTACCAGGTCATATTCAAGGACTTAAAGTGGAAGGCAAGTCAGAATCTAACTAAGCTTAAATTTACTCCCACCCCATTCTAAGCCTATTCTATCTACCCTGTAAAAAGAAAGATGCCTATACTTGCCCAATTTCTGAAGTTGCTCCAGTCCAGTCAAATGATCTCTCCAGCGCCAGCTTCAACGTATAGGAGGGATTGTCGACAATAACTGCGAAGCCTGGGCGATGTCATCCATAGGCTTACTATAGGGAATCCGTTGTCGGCTGTCCTTCCTCTAAACTGAAGCCGGCGTTGGAAGCTGGACCAGAGTAACTTCAGAATAGGTATGTATAGACATCTTTCTTTTTACAGGGTAGATAGAATAGGGAATAGATTTAAGCTTAGTTAGGTTTTGACTTGCCTTCCTTTTTAAACCAGTTGTTAAAAAAAAATACAGGTAAAATGAATATCTCCTAAACATGCACCGTTTAGGAGATATTTGCTTTTTTTGACAGCTGGCATTCCTGTGCCATTCCTTCAGAGCACAGTGACGTTGCCCAGGACTCCCACACGCATGCTGGTGAGCAGGGGCGGACTGACAACTCATGGGGCCCCCAGGCAATAGGGGATCATGGAGCCCCTGTGTCCTTGCCCAAACTCAAAAAAGCCTATGAAAAAGGTACCAGGGGCATCTCATGGGGCCCCCTACCGACCCCGGGCCCTCGGGCAGTGCCCAAGTTTCCAAATGGTCAGTCCGCCCCTGCTGGTGAGTGACATCGCCGCAGCTCGGCCAGTCAGATGGCTGGAGCTTGTGAACCCGGAAGGAAGACCGGGTGAAGATGGATGCCTCTGCAGCGGTGACAGTGCCTTGCTGGAGGGCTTAGTTTTAAGGTAATGTCAATGTATGTCATACTAGCACATTATGACATTACCTTGCAGGGGATTTACTTATTTCTTTTCACTTACCCTTACTGTGCCCCCCTCACTGCAAAGATGGTAGACTATGATCTGAGGCTCCTGGGATATGAGAAGGCCTTAGGAATCCAGGTCAGACAGCAAATAGGAGCGGCTTCAGGGGACTGGTCATATGGAGAGGGAGAATCCTGTAGGAGTAAGGAATAAGCTAAGTACTTCACCATATTCTTCTCTACTTGATTGCACATTTAACCTTTGCAGTGCAAGGGAGTCCCAGTGCAAGGGTTTTCTTCACCCGGAGTTCAACTCTATTGATTTTCAGTCAATGCATCCCTGTAGAAATTTGTGTTTTTATGCTCTGTTTGAATCAGCAATTGACAGCCTTTATGTTGATCTTGGACGTGTTTATACATTTGATTAGTGTACGGAATTCTTCATGTTCAGAAGCAAGTCCATTTTTGCCTTTTGTCGATTTAATCTGGTATTCAATCATTTTTTTTATTTTTTTTTGCTATGTGCTGACAATTGGGTTTCTTGAACATTGCTGCCTAAAAACTCAGCGTTTTAAGTATACAGGCATTTTTTTTTTAACTAATCTAAATGCAACCCATTGTACATCTCCATGTACCTGTAGACACAGGCGCATAAACATGCACTGCGTATAGATAAAAAAGAAATATGAGTTGCTAGTCAGTATTTACATTCATATGCACATAAAATGTTAATTTGAAGAAGCTAATATTCCATTCTGAGAGCTAGAATGTATTTTACTCCTGTACACACTTAACAATAATAGTAATAAACCCCAGAAAGCTTGGCCAGGAATGCTGATGTTCAAAACATCAGTACTGTGTGCAAGTACCGTTAGAATTGTACAGTAGTCTAAGAGGTGTGTTCTAAGGCCCCTTTCACATAAAATGGTACGATCGGGTCTGCCTGTTCATTTTTTATTAGGTGGACCCGATCAGACCCTCCATTGTCCTTTGTGGGCAGTCGGATGTAAACTTACTTGTGTCTGTTTACACTTGGCTACCTTTGAACAAAATCAGCAAAAAGAAACGGGAGGGGGATCTGTTCCCTTTCATCTGGCTAGATCAGATTGGAGGGCAGTCGGGTGTAAACGGACAGCTGGTCCATTTACATCTGACTGTACATAGAGCAAAACAGGCTGTTTCTGTGTGCGCTCTGCATAAGTGGATTGGACATGGGCCTGTCATTTGGTAGCTCCACTCAGCGGGCTGATCCCCTGCTGAGCAAAGCCGGATCTGACCCATGTGAAAGGAGCTTTATATATATTAGGTAATGCTACATTGTTACCGTGTACTCATCTTTCTGAAGAATGTATGCCGCTGTAACTACTGTCTTTTGAGTGCTGCCACTTAGTTTACTGATAACCAGAGTTGTTTTTCAGTCACATTTGTTAACGGGTGTAAAATAAACCATTAATGTCATTTTTCCTTTGTGTCCTAGGAGTCTCGACTTCACAGCAAAACACTGAAGCGTACCAGGCGATATTTAGTTGATGGTGTTGAGGTGAGCGTTACAACCTCAAAGATTATTGGGGATGATGATAAAAAAGATGAAGAGATGCGCTTTTTGAGGTACACAAGATCTTTTTGTTCTTCACCGCATTGTAAGCATCACTTATACTTGTAGTTGGTAGATATAGGATAAATCACATTAAAGTGAATGTAAAGGATCATTTTTTTTATTTTAAATACTTACCTGCTGTGTGAAAAGATATTGCACAGGGCAGTTCCTTACCTATCCTTCTGGAGCACCCCCGCCATCACTGTCCACTCCTTCTTATGAGCAGTTCCGTGTGCTGAGGTGGCACCCATGCAGGTGCACTACCAAGCTGGGCTGTGTGTGTCCATAGACACACACAGCGTGGCTAAACCACACCTCCCACTCCCTCCTCACAGGATTTTACTAACAGCAGCAGGATCCTATGGCTCACACTGATCTCAGAGTCCCCTTTGAGACTAGAAAGAGTAAGCAGCGACACTGCAGCCAAGACAGGGCTGGAGTGTGAGAGTATTTGGGAATGGAGGGGGGACAAGTATTGGAAGTTTTTTTTTACCTTAATAGAAGGAATTAAGGTAAAAACACCTTTTGAGTTTAGAACTACTTTAAATGTAGGGTCACGCTGGTGCTGCGGATTAATCATGCTTTTTTCACTGCGTTTTTGTGGCATGTTTATGCATGTTTTTCATGTGTTTTTGTTCAATCCATGACTAGCAATATCTGCTGTCTTATTGTTGGTAGGAGGAAGAGACTGGGTGTTAAGGCCAAAACTGCACCAAAAACTTACTTCATGTGCTCTCATTGGCATCTATGGGGCCAAAAGCACACCTGTAACGCACCAAAAGAAGCACATGCACCTTTTCAAAATTTACACAGCACAGTATTTCTGTGATGTAAATGAGCACCATGGAGAATAATGTGATTTGTGTTGTCATACATAGCAGCAGAATGGCAGACATGCAACTAATTGCACTAGTGCCCTCTAGGGCTTAAATGGTACATTTACACAGTGAGGCACTGATGTTTAGAAAGCACTAACAGAGTTACAAAATGCCAAAGGAAGATTGTATTTTCCCCCTAAGCTCAATTCTATATAGTGGAGGACTGGCTAAGAATATTAAAAATAAAGAATATGAAGCATGATGTTGCTGAGCTTTCCTTCTAAAATGCTGATTGCCAGGCCATTAGGCCAATCCACTGGCTTGAGTACTTTCTGCAGCTAATCTCATTCTACTCTGCGTGCTTATTTCAGATTAGTGAGTATTGAAGTCAGGGACAGACTGGCAACTAGTATTCTTAACAACAGCCTCTTTTTGTGAAGGTTTCGTTTTTAAAAATATCAGGAAAAGAGAAGAACTGTATACAGTTCATATCTGTAATAATGCACATTTCTTGATGTTTTACTCCTTTAAAGACACTCGGATAAAGAACAATGCTTGTTGATTCTGGCAGCAATGGACTCGGCTACTAATTTGCAATGTATATTTAACAAACGAAAAGGGAACAAAGAAGGATTGAATATAAGAAAATACTTTGCAATTTATGTTTAAAGTGTATTTAAATACAAAACCTTTTCATTTCGTTTAGTTTTAAATAGACTAGAGAGGGTTAAAATCCCTATCTGGCCCTAAAAATTCAGTAACAAACAAGAAGAAATATCCCCAAAGTAAACATAGTTTCAATCCAGCAGGGATTGGCCAAATTTCGTTATGTGGGTGCAGCCTCAACAGTCGGTTGCTTCAAATATCTGTCTAAAGGACCTGTTGGAAAACTTTTCTTGATCAGCAGCTGAAGCTGCTGATCAGTGTATTCTGACACCGGCACCTCGTTTGTATGGTTGGACAGATCTGTTACAGTTGTCATGAGATCAGATGTTCCCATTGACAGAATTTATCTTCATATTGTACCCTGGTGATAACGCACCGACAGGAGTTGAAAATTGTTTTCTACTCTATCCAAAAACGAAAAAAAAAAAAAAATTTTAGTTGTTGGTCAGTATTTTACAATCATATAAAAGAGAGAAAATGAGAGAAGTTTATTTATTTTTAAGCTTGCATACACTACAATTTATTATATGGGGAGTTTTTTTGGGTTGGTGTTTGGGTACTTCTTAGAAAGTGTTCACTTTTGAAGTGTGGAATACTGGAAGGACAGAAAATGATTTATAAGAATGTTGCTGAAAGGATAATTGCAATTTTTTATATTGATCATCAGCAAGGGACTATCACCAGTCTGCCCTTGAAATAGGTGAATGACATTATTGGGATTTTGGGATTCCTGATATTTTTGTATGGCCTTAGACCGCCTCGCTTTTACATAACTTTGACTGACAGCACCATTATTAGTGCCAAACTAGGAAGCGAGGAAATTGCCACTTGCATTGTTGGAGTAGAGATTTTCATTCTTGCTTCAGACCAGCTTTAGCTCAGCATACTAAGAATTTCTAACCTTTGGAACAAATGTCTGTGAATTTCTAACACCATGTGTTTGAGACCAAATAATCTTGTCCATTAATATAAATGGTATGCAAATACCAATTCCAATAATGTTTTTTTACCCATCTCAGGCGCCAGGAACTACGTGAACTGAGGCTGTTACAGAAAGAAGAGCACAGGAACCAGGCCCAGCTGAATGCAAAACATGTCTTACAGCTGGAGCAGATGATACGTCGCTTTGAACAGGAAATGCATGTAAGATTCCTTTTCCTATTTATAGTAGAAGACATCTCATAATTTCACTCACAATGTACTGTGGATGGGTGGCTTCTGTAGACAAGGCAATGTACCCATATGTTTCTGCCTACTTCTGGGTTTCGGGCACCCTCTGTAAACAGCGGGAGCCTGTCAGCAAGCCTCAGCCAATAATTTATAGCCGGGACATGCTGATCAACTGTGTACAATCACAGAGCTCTGTACAGAGGGAGAAATCTCTGTTTCTCATACCTGCAAAGCATCCTAAAGGATAAGTTCACCTTTGGGAACATTTTACATGTTCTACCTGTTTTTAGGGTGGAACATGTAACATGTTCCCATAGCTACCGCCCCCCTTCCCTCTGACAGATAGTACAGGGAGACTTCTCCCTATACTATCTGGCAAATTTGAAAACAGCGTGGCCATGCGGGGCTCCACCCACACAGCCGCATCATTCATTCACGGACTTCCGTGAATAAATGAACTGCAAGTCCCGACAGCCTTAGCGGCTGTCGGCTTCTAGTTTTCAATGAACTACCAGGGGGCTGTGGAATGCCGTGGTAGTTCGTTGAAGCTTTCTGTCAGAATATCTGCTTGCTCATTCATCCCATACAGCAAGCAGATATTCTGACAGGTCTGCAGGAGACCTGCATGGCATCAACTATCTACTGATTGCAGGTGTAATGCTTTCCAGGCTCCTGTAGACAAAAATAATAAATGCATATTTTTTTACCTGCAAAAAAATGTGCATTTACTATTTTTGTCTAAAAGGTGAAATTGTCCTTTAAGTAAAAAGAAGCACACTTTACACATTGAAAACATAGTTAGGCACACATTTAACCCCTTGATCACCCTAGATATTAACACCTTCTCAGCCATTGTCATTAGTACAGTGACAGTGTAAAATATCACTGATCAATATATTAATGTAACTGGTGATGTCCCTGTTAGTTCCCCCCAGCGTCAGTGTCAGATTGCCCGCGCCCTCCCACAGTCACATTATAAGTCAGTGATCATCGCCATCAGTAGTCTAAAAAATGAAATAAATACAAATTCCAGTATATATACCATAGTTTGTAGGCACTATAACTTCACACAAACCAATCAATATACACTTATTGGGAATTTATTTGATCAAAGACGTAGCAGAATACATTTTGGCAAAATCTATGTAGAAATTTGATTTTGCTTTTCAGAATTTTCATTTTTCATTTATATCACAAAAAATAAAAAGCCCAGTGGTGATCAAATCCCACCAAAAAAGAAAAAATATCAATTTTGTTTGGGTATAGTGTTACATTACCGCGCAATTACGAGTTAAAATAGCGCAGTGCTGTATAGCAAAAAATTACATGGTCATGAAGGGGGTAAAATCTTTTGGAGCTCAAGTGTTTCAAGTATTTTACCTCTTCACATTAGACTTTTGGCTTTATATACCAGCGGTTCTGATGGGACAAAAAGGAATGATTTTCATCGTCCAGCCCAATGTTCTGCAATGAAGAATAATCCTGTTGATTTTGAAATAAATTATGGCATGAGACATGTGAACAACTTTTGTTTTAAGAAGGCCTTACTATGCAAATCTCATTGAAAAGCATCGCACAGCAAAATATTGCTTAGTGGGAAACGTGATAGGCAGAGTCAGTAAATCTCAAATACAGCCTGGTACAGTAGTGAAAATTTGTCAGTTCCTAAGATTTCCTGAATTTTTTCCAAGATATAAATACATTTGTGCTTAAAGAGACCCTTTTCCAAGATTATTAATTTTAACAACAATCTTCCAATAAGAATATATGTGCATTTAACGTATCTAATGCATGTTATTTACTTGTAAAAGCCTCCCTTGTGTGGGCCTGAGAGGACTGCTGGGTGCTGCCATCTTGGTTGTGATGTGAGCAGCCTCAGAACTGTCATTCAAGTGACACTTGATAGTATTCTCCTTTGCTCCTTGTGTGGCTGCTAAGGTTATGTAGGCAGGTGAGGGGTGGAGTTGGACCAGCCGCGAGTAAATAGGCGCTCCCAGAAGAAGAGGGCTGTGCTAGGAATTGACTCTGACCAGTGTAGTTAAATTCCATGACAAATTCAAAGGCACATTGTAAAATTAACAGTAACATTAAAATACTTTTCTGTGCATTTTCCTGCAATCATTTAAGTTGGTGACAAGGTCTGCTTAAGCTGATGAAACACAAACAATTGTACTTTTGACACAATCGCATCCAACAGATATCTCCAAGAGCTACTGGTAAGCAGGAATTTCACAAAAAAAGTTTGTTATTCTGGAGCAATGCTTAATCTCAGGTTGAGGACTTCTTGTAAACCAAAACTTCCAGAAGTGTTGCTCTTTCGTCCCCCTTTGTGCTTTGCGGGGGAGATTTACTAAAACTCGTGCACTCAGAATCTGGTGCAGCTGTGCATGGTAGCCAATCCGCTTCTAACTTCAGCTTGTTCAATCAAGCGTTGATAATAAAAAACTGGAAGCTGATTAGTTTCTATGTAGAGCAGTACCAGATTTTGCACTCTCCAGTTTTAGTTTAAACAAAAACCTAACTGCCTCTTCTCACTGACCTTCATAACATCACATTATTCGGTAGATTATTTCATACAACCATAAAATGTTTCTTCTTTTTAATCTTTTTTTCGTGAACAGATCTTGCCTCTAGAAGCATTTTTTATAGGGCAGGTCACTTTTTAAAATCACACCTCCAATATCTCATTTCCTGGAATGCCTGAGTGTGATTTACCTTTTTTCAGTATGTCAGTGCTCTAAAGGTTAATCCTATTCACACTGACCTTAATGATGTGTATTATTTGTTTATTAAAGATACCACAGTGTAAAAAATGGTGTTTTGTGTTATAACTTAGCTGAAGATTAGACTCAGTCATGCAAAAAAGCCAGGAAATGCACAACATTTTTCTTGCAACTGTATGTAAAAATATCAATAAATTCTATTTATACCTGAAAATGGTATGTCTTGGTGACAGGCGATTGTCAAAAGAAATCCTACCAACTTTAAAGCTGAAATCTTTGAATTTTTCTAAGTCTGTTATGAGTACTGCCTGAGGCCTTGCCTTCGCCATTCAAAATATCGGGGGTCGCTCTCCTCCACCATTCAGAGAACAGCTTTTTTTTTAAATGAATAGGGCATTCTCTGATTGGATGAGGAGAAGGTGTTCTCTGTGCGGTCAGTAACTCTGAAAGAGATCAGCGCTGACTATATTTATCACAGACTACTATAGTCATTTTCTGCATCCTCAGCAGCCCTCTTGGTGTGAGATATGAATATCTATGTGAACTGGTATTGTTGGCACATTTAAAATCCCAGCATTCCGGTCTTCTTACGGGTCGAATAGAAACTTTTTTCGTATTCATATGATTGATAATTTAAGGGATGGTGCCTCAAATGTATCCACCAGGGTATTCCACTTTCTAATTAATAAAACAAACTGTGCAGCTCTGACTAAAGTTGAATAATGCCCTTGTTGTAGGTGTAGGCCATTTACGTATCTCCTGAAGTCTGACAGGAGTACTCCCAGGACATTGCTAGGACATTGCTAAGTAAGACCTAGTCAATGCTGTTCACTTCCACCATCACAGGAGTGAAGTTTTTCTCTGATTCAGTCCCCATAACAAGTTCTTTTTTTTCACTGATGCAGTAGTTCTGAACCCAGCATTTGAGAGCTAACCCTTGTGATGGAGGAGGTGAGCAGTAACTACTAGACCTCATTTAGTAATGTCCTGAGAGTATTCCTGTCGGGCTTCATGAAGTACGTAAATGGCCTACACCTGTAGCAAGGGCAATATTCAACTTTAGTCAGAGCTACACCATTTGTTTTTATTTACAGTCGCCCCTTATCTGCATGGGCATTTTTTTTTAAGGTGGACTAACCCCTGAAAAAAACAAAAAACAAAAAAGAATTCAAATAAAGAGGAAAAAAAGGAATAAAAATAAAAAGAATTCTTGGAGTTCAGCTCTACATAGAAATGGAAACCCGTCATGATAGAATAAGTAACTGCAATGCCTAACCATCTCCTGATACGATTAGTTGTCTGGATGTTGCTGACCCACTGGCTTCAGTATTTTAAGAACCACTGTTCCATAACAGATCAGGGAATACGGAGTTACTACGATGTTAGATCTATATCCTTGTTCCAGATCAGTCAATAAAAACATTGTAACAAGAGGGCAAGCATGCCAGCCAGGCAGCTAGTGTTTTCAAAAAATGCACATGCAGGTGGTTGACGTCATCGTGTCTTAGCCATTCAAATGGCTGGAGCCCACGAACCCAAAAGGAAGACAGGGTGAAGATGGAAACCCTGTCAGAAGTTACAGCCCACCACTGGAGGGGTTCGTTTTTAGGTAAGTCTTTCATAATGTGCTAATCTGCAATGCAAACAAGCACATTTTGACACTACCTTGCAGGAGGATTTTTTTTTCTTTTAAAGAATGTTTACTACCACTTTAAAATCCATATCCATAAGCATGGGTTTCTTTGAATGTGACACAGTCATTGCAGTTGTTGTTAGAGGAATGTAATGAACGTTTGGCATATCATCTATTTACTCTGATAAGACATAGAATATACACTGTGCAAATTGTATGCCATGTGTCCCTTTAAGTAGGCATTGTGCCACAGTGCACCTTCACTTTCCTGTAGAGAATACAGTATTGACTATCCTCTTTACAGTATGACACCTATCTCTCTTTTTTTCAGGCAAAAAAAAAGTACTATGATACAGAACTTGAAATGTTGGAACGCCAACAGAAGCAGCAGATTGAGCACATGGAACAAATGCATGCCATGCGCAGGAGAGATGAAACAAAGCGAATTCGCACTGAGCAAGAAAAAGAATATAACAGATTCCTTGAGCAGCTTAAATTACGAAAAAGAGAGGTAACTGCCTGTTGTTTTGACATGTTTGTACATTTCAGATGTATCTGATAATGCATTTTTCATATTATTTGACAGAATTGCTTTAAGCAACCTTACATCCTGTTCAGTAGCATTTGTCTTTTTTGAAGAGTATGTGCTATTAAGAAAGGAAGTATTTTTAAGTGTTAATGTGTTCATATGTTCACCAGTAATTAACTGGAATGCGTATTTTAACCGCTTACCGACCACCCGTTTGCAGTGTACTGCAGACAGGCGGTAGCTGCAGGCAAAGCGACGGGCTCTTCAAAATTTGGCCCCTCATAAACCACCTCACTGAGAAATTTGCAGATGTGTGTACGCTCCAGCAAAACATCTGCGTGGAGGAGTCCCTCATTCACTTTACTGGCTGCCTTGCATTCAAACAGTACATCCCCAGCAAGCGTGCCAGATGTGGGGTCAAATTGTATAAGCTCTGTGAGAGAGCCGCAGGCTATACATACAAATTTAGGGTTTGATGGAAGAGACAGCAAAGTAGAGCCCCCCGACTGCCCAGACTACATGGGGAGCAGTGGCAAGATAGATTGGGACTTGGTGTCATCTTTGTTCCGTAAGGGACAATCTCTATACAAACTCTATACAAGCATGCCACTATTTAGACATCTGTACAATCTTGCAATTGGTTCATGTGGCACCGTACGACCTAATTACCAGGGCTTCCCCCAACGGCTTGTAAATACCCAACTTAGAAAGGGGGAGAAAGCCTGCTTGAGGAATGAGGAACTGCTTGCAGTGAAGCGGGAGGATGTCATATGACAAACTCTCAGAACTGGATGACCATGTGTTAGCTGTTATTCGGCTATAGCGCAGTCAAGAAGTGGTTAAACATCCTCCTTGGAGAAGAGGGGATATGATAGTGATATACAAATATCTTAATGGTGATTCTAGCAGTGGGAGGAAACTGTTCAGTCTCAGGTCACTCAATAAGACTCGTGGCCACTCAATGAAGTCGACAAGACGCTGTTCAGCCTTAACCCCTTAGTGACTGGGGGTAAACAAATGTTCATGCCTGAACACAATGTTGCAACTTTGATGTGTTAGTAAAAAAACTGTACATATCATCTCAACTACTCTGTGTATCCATCTGGATTATACCTTGGTATTTTTTCAGGACAAATTGGGCTTTCATTTGGTGGTAAATGATAAAGGATAAAAAAAAGCAATTGTTTTAAAATGTAGCTGTGTATTTCTTGGTATTATCATCATTTACCACCAAAGAACAGCCCAAAATTTGCTGTGCGGTACACTGCCAGCACAAAAGAAGACATATATATGGCCCCACAGATAAAGGCCAACTTCTGTGAGACTGCAAAAATGCGTACAGTTGGCGGGAAGGAATTAAACTTGTAAGGATTTTTTTTTTTTACTGTTAGAGCAGTAAGAATGTGGACTCCCTTTCACTATCCGTGGTTTCAGCAGGAAATATTGCTAATTCCAAAAAACTTAGATGTGCATCTTATTGAACACAGTATACAGGGATATGAGAAGTGGTAGAGACATAAATACACCCACACAAGTTGAACTGGATGGACTGGTGTCTTTATTCAATCTTACCAACAACAGGATGTAACTGATGCATTCTGTTGGAGAGTTTGTTCTTTTGAAAAACAGACTCACTGATACAAACACCACTTAAAAATAAAAGAAAGAAAACCTAAAGAAGAAAACAAATGCAGCCATCACATCTAAGAAATGGTAAGCTGCATTATAATGTTTGCTTTTGGGTTTAATACCACTTTAAGGCAATCATTACATGAAAATGTTTACTAAACGAACATAAATAGTCGTATACACGTGTTAGCTAAATTAGTATGAATCAATATCTTTTTTAAAATAAATATTTGGCTTTTGTCTGAACATGTGACTGTCCAGATGTGGCATTCTCACTTGCAGCAGGAGCATGGAGATTTATCATGTCACAGCTTTGCATTTCTTTTCTATTCTGGCTTCTATTACTAGTGGCTTTTCAAATACCTTCTGCTTTTTCTTACAGGTGAAGGCTGAAGTGGAGAGGCTTCCAAGACCACAACGAAGAGAGACCATGAGGTTAAAAAAAATGGATGACTTTGCACAGAAGAAACAGTCAGAGGTAACAGCATGCTGCTTTCTTCCATAGTAGTGGCATGTGTTAACACAGGGTTTGCTTTTAGCCCAGATTCACACTAATGCAGTTCGGCACATCGAATATGATTCGCACGGGAACTGTACCGCATTCCTGTGCAAATCGCATGCGATTTCTGTGCGGTGCAATTTAAGCCATACATTTTGTGTGGCTTAATCACACCGCATCCGCATCAAAATAGAGCAGGACCCTTTTTTTTTTTTTTTTGTCCACACCAGAATCGGATCACCCGTGAACACCCATGTGATCCGATTCTGCACATCACACCACGTTTTGTGAACCAATTGTTGGTGTTATTAACTTAAAATACACACCCGCAGCGGTTCGCATGAATGGGGTGCGATTATGATTCCGCACTGTATCAGGGCTCAGTAAAGTTTTCTACTAGCCCCAGTGTGAAGACTGATGTAGTACAGATTTTTGCTCAGTTCATGGTTTGTATCAATTTGCAAGCATTTACATTGCTCCATGTATGCTCTTTCTGAGGCTTTGTAGGACCAGGGGACTAAAGTGAATTCATTTGATTTCTACTCTGTTATTGTAGTGTACAAAAACGTATCATTGAAAAGATATAGTGAAAACCCCCTTTGAGCAAGGTGCTCAGCTTACCTGTGGATAACACTGTTCTTTTGTTCTATAAAAAACACATAGCTAGCTTATTCAGAGATCACTGGCTGGCCCTGAATAACTGCCAAATGCTCCTTGGAATTTTTTCTATACTGCTTTTGTATTCTTAGTAGGGAATGTAACATAGATGCTGCACTCCTGTCATTTCACCAGTGTAAACACCTGCTGTTGGTATACTGGTTGTTCTTTCAATATCACCCATGCAAGTGTTGGCTTTGAATGCTGAGTTTCAGCTATGACTGCATTACAATTCACTCATGTCATTTTTTTGAAGGAGCAACACTTCCTAAATAAGCAGAAAGAAGATATGGCTCTGGCCATGAGTTCCATCACCCTAGAGAACAAGAAAGAGATTTACAGCAAGGAGAGGGAATTTCTGAACAAGAAACATCAACTTCTTAGAGGTAACGTAACACCTGAGAGGGCCATTCTACATCCCACTAGTGTGTACGGTGCTGTGCTGTGAGTTCTCTACCTCAGCTTTACCCCAGTAGAGGAATAGGCTTGGTGGAACTGACCTTCCAGGATTTGCTCAATATGGATTTTTCCCCTCCTAAGGCAAACTGCATAAGGCCTTAATGTGTTTGTTATTTTGTATGCCTTTTATTCACTTTTTCAAACCATTAAACTAGGTGTGAAAAATGTGTGTATCTCTGTAAGATGAAATATTTAATGCAAAAGGCACTACCATTTTAAATTTAAAGCATACAGTGGGTAAAATAAGTATTGAACACGTCATAATTTTTCTCAGTAAATATATTTCTAAAGGTATTGAGATTAAATTTTCACCACATGTCGGTAACAACCCATGAAATCCATATATACAAAGAAACCAAAACAAATAAGTTCAGAAATTAAATTATGTGTAATTAAATGAAGTGACAAAAAGTATTGAACATGCTAACTGAAATGTATTTAATATTTTGTAGAAAAACCTTTGTTGGTAATGACAGCTTCAAGACACCTCCTGTAAGGAGAAACTAGTTGCATGCATTGCTCAGGTGTGATTTTGACCCATTCTTCCATACAGTCTTCAAATCTTGAAGGGTCCGTGGGCCTCTTCTATGAACTCTGATCTTTAGTTTTTTCCATAGATTTTCTATTGGATATAAGTTAGGTGATTGGCTAGGCCATTATAGCAACTTTATTTTCTTTCTTATAACCAATTGAGAGATTCCTTGTTTTGGGTTTGGGATCATTGTCTTGCTGAAATGTCCACCCTCATTTTATCTTCATCATCCTGGTAGATGGCAGCAGATTTTTATCAAGAATGTCTTGGTATATTTTTCCATTCAACCTTCCTTTAATGAGATGAAGTTTGCCAGTACCGTATGCTCCACACCATGATGTTCTCACCTCCAAACTTCACTGTTGGTATGGTGTTTTTGGGGTGATGTGCAATGCCATTTGACCTCCAAACATGGTGTGTATTGTGGCATCCAAAGATTTCAATTTTGGTCTCATCTGACCAGACTATATTCTCCCAGTATTTCACAGGCTTGTCTAAATGTTGTGCAGTAAACTTTAAACCATCTTCAGCATGCTTTTTCTTCAGCAATGGAGTCTTGCGTGGTGAGCGTGCATACAGGCCATGGCGGTTCAGTGCATCACATATTGTTTTCTTTGAAACAATGGACCACAAGGACCACAATTGGTCCCTGGCTCTTGGACAACTCTTCTGATAATTATTTTTTCGCTCCTCTCTCAGAAATCCTGCTTGGAGCATTTGGTCGTGGCTAGTTTATGGTGAAATTATCTTGTTTCCACTTTTGGATTATGTCCCCAACAGTGCTCACTGGAACATTCAGAAGTTTAGAAATCTTTCTGTAACCAATGCCATCAGTAAGTTTTGCTACAATAAGGTTGCAAGGTCTTGAGAGAACTCTTTTTGCTTTTATCAATCATTAGATGTTCCATGTGTGACACCCTGGTAATGAGCCATCGTTGAGACTGAACCAGCTGATATTAATTTGCATTGACAAGGGCAGGATTGCTTTCTAATTACTGACAGATTTTAGCTAGTGTCTTTGCTTTCCATGCCTTTTTGTGCCTCCCTTTTTAATGTCTTCAATACTTCAATACTTTTTCCTTGTGTCATTCCATCTTATTACACTTAACCTAATTTCTGAACTTATATGTTTTGGTGTCTTTGTATATATGGATTGCATGGGTTGTTACCGACACGTGGTGAAAATTCCATGTCAATAGCACCTTTAGAAATATATTTTATATTTGAGAAAAATGGTGACGTGTTCAATACTTATTTTACCCGCTGTATGTAAACTACCTAAGAACAAAAATGAAAAACTTTATTGAAGCCTACTAGTCCTTAAATGTGGTGGATGCATTTGTTTTTTTGTCTTTCAGCTTTTTTTTTTCCTTTTTCACCTGCTGAACTACCAGTAACATACTTCCTGTCCTAGGGTGGCAATGCTCGCATACCATACAGTATATATGGAAAAGTAGTGCTGTCACCATAGGACAGGAATACAAACACCTTCCCCTCTCCTCTTCTCAGAGTGGAGGGGTACAATGTAATTAACCGCTTCCCGACTGCCCTATAGCAGAACTACAGCTACAGGGCGGCAGGGCTGCGCAAAATCACCGTGATTCCCCACCAGCACCCGGTGATCGCCGAGTATCATTGACGGGGGAGAGGTCTGTATGTAAACAATACAGATCTCTCCCCTGTCCGCTCCAGCACGTTGCTTTGTATTGCTCTGCATAGCAGTGCAGATGCCCAGGGTGTGTAAGTATATTTACTCCACTCCTCTTCCAACCCCACAGTTGCTTATTAGTGTACCACCTCTCTGTGCACTACCCTGTTTGTGTCCCTGCTAGGGAGATTAACCCTCTCTTGGTGCCCAATATCACCGATAATGAAAGTGAGAGAAAATTTGAAGTTGGCCCCAGAACAGGGGTGGGAATGCGAACACTTGTTCTGTTGCAAAGATGATTTTCTTCACTTTTGATTAAGATCCATTCACTGGGACAAGAAATGAAGGGAAATCTTCACTGGCAAAAATCCCCTCCCCCCTCGAAAAATGAAAAACTTACAGGGGTTTTAAACATTCACTGTTCTATCAAAAATAAAAAAAATTGGCTTGAATTATAAAATCAAATTTTAGTAGTTTTTTTTTTTATTGTATTCTTTTTTTAACCAGAGTTCTTTTCTGTTCTCTTAGACAGAGAAGCCTGCATTTGGGATTTGGAGGAACGCCACTTGCAGGAGAGACACCAGCTCAATAAGCAGCAGCTGAAAGACCAGTACTTTTTACAGCGGCATGAATTGCTTAGAAAACATGACAAGGTACAAAAACAGTTGGGCTGATCACTGGTGACTTTTTACATTAAAAGTTCGGCGTTAAAAAAAATGACCAGCTCATTACTCCTCCAACTTTATATCACCTATTAGGTGACAGAGCTTGATGAAAATGCATTAGAATATGCTCTTTGTGATGGAGGATTAAATATCTATCCCTTGGACTAGACTTGCCTGCATGCCTTTATATATGTTTTTGTGCAGGTTTGTACTTTAGTTTATGAATACACTCTGCTTTTTATTTACACTCGGGCTCACCTGTTACATTGGAAATGCTCCATTCAATATTTCCTGTAACAGCTGCTTCCCCTGAGGTGGGAGCCAGCTCTGGAGAACTCAAACCACTGTCTGTGGCTTGACGAGGAATGCTCAGGTGAGTGAGGCCTGGCTCCCTGTCCCTGTGTGGAAAGGGAGGAAGGGGAGAGGAGGCAGCCCTTCCCAGTGCATTCAGTAGAAATCAGTGCACTATAGAAAATACTGCAGAGACCAGCTCTATGTAAGTGATCTTCACTAGTTAGACTGCCTAACCTAAGCCTGCATTGTCCAGTGGTTTAGGACTGTGGTCTTTCTCTATGGAACCCAGTCACTGAGGACTTCTTTGGGGGTATGCTCACCATTATGGGCGAACCCTGGACTTTATACTGGGCTAGACAGTCCAGCATCATCGACAGGTAAGACTGGGTCAGTCTGTATGTCTGACTATTACTGTAAAAATGGGGGCATGTTTAGAATTGTTGTATTCACTTCGCACTGCAAACTTTTCAAACCGCCCAGAGTTCAGTCTCAAGTGGATGACCAGATGTTACATCACACCACTGCTCACATATTTTAACTCCACTTCAGCCTAGAGCCTTCTAAGGTACTCAGGCGCTTCCTCTCACCCTTTTGCCATGAAGATTTGTTACAGGACGCGGTCTACACCTGGGTTACATCGTATTCTTTACAAAGATGCTTAACCTATACTTGGCACTATATTTGGTGAGTACCCCACGGGGAAAATCCTTGCATGTATATATGGTGGGGACCAGGTGAAAGGGAGTTAATGGAAAATCGCAGGTGAACATTCGTTCCTGTACGACATTAATCCTCGGAGTGACGATGCATCCTTTGCACTAGAGCAACACCAGTCTTGGTATCCAATTCTTGCTGTATTTCTGGCACACAAATTAATTGCCTATTTGAGTAAAGAAGAATTCTCTGCATCTGTCACACTTCCTTGAACAGATTGCGACCTTAATACAGCCACCTTCATTCAAGGCCCAAAAAAGCTACACCTCTTCTCCTACTCCTGTATCTCAACCAGAGTCTGATCCTGACATGCCAGTCCTAGAAGATGCAGACACAGAAGGAAATAAAGAGGATATTGAGGCCAGTATTGGAGGAAGCTGCAGAAGATTTTTCTCCCTTATATTGTCGCTATATTGAAGAGGTAGCCTATGGAACATGCTTGCCAATGTTGAAAACCACATTGCCCCAGTCTGCAAAAACCTTGGCATTGTGCAAGCTGACACTCCTCTGTCATTTCATGCCCCTTTGGGTACAAAGAGATCTGCAAAACATTTCCTGTTCATGAACAGATAGAATGTGCAGTCTATAATGACAGGGTCACTAAAAAAAAAAATCTTTCCTTAACTCTGTCCTGTGGAAAAAGCACACATCCTGCCATCTCAGTTTCTATTAAAGATATTGCTTCTTTCAAAGATTCTACAGATAGAAAGTTTGAGTAACTCCAAAAAGCTATCTTTAATCGTGCAGGCTTAGTCCTGCAACCATCTCTTGCTGCAATTTCAGTATGTCAAACTGCAGCTAACCAGACTAGGACAATGAACAACCAACATGACCATGTATTTCAAGATCATGTTGTTACATAGCAGTTGCTTTTTGCTCTACTTTTCTGTGTAGAGCCCTAAAACATGTCATGAGACAAACTTTCAGAATGTTTTTGATCTCAATTCATATGCACAGAATCCTATGGCTAAAAGTATGGACCGCTGAAGCTGCCTGCAAAAGGTGTCTTACATTACACATATGCCTTTCCAAGAAAGACATCTGTTCGAGCACTTGTCCAATTGATCAAAGTCACAGGTGGGAAGTTAACATTAACATTAAAAGGTTCAAAAATCTCCTTTTTCAGGACCCCCTAGCTCCTCAAAACGCAGAACACCCGAGTGTACTAACCAGGTTTCAACTTCAAAACCTAAGTTCAGCCCTTCTTTTCGGAACAAGGCTTGTCCCACCAAAGCCATCAAACCTTCCCCAGAGCCCTCTTCACACTGAAAGGGCACCCTTACTCTTGAGAATGGGGGGATGTCTGTTACATTTTGCCTCTCTCTGGGTCACAGATGTCCCTGACCTGTGGATTTGAATCAGTGGTTTTTAAAGGGTACAAAATAGAGTTCAACATTCTACTACTTCACTGCTTCTTTTAAATCAACTAAAAACTGCCCAAAGACTGTTTGATTTGCAAAATGCCCTGAACCACCTTTTGTCCTATGGATTCATTGTGCCAGTGTTGCCACAAGACAGGTTCAAAGGATTTTCCTCAAACCTGTTCACGGTACCTAAGCCCAATGGAGTTATTTGTCCTATTCTGGATTTAAAATCCCTCCACAAATTCCTTCAAATTCCAAAATTTAGCATTGAATCCACACGGTCAGTGATTGCTTTTCTGAGACAAGGGGGATACATGGCATCTGTGGACATCCAAGATGTCTTTCTACATGTTCCCATTTAACGCATTAGCACTGTCTGTGATTTGCATTGGCAGACAACCACTTCCAGTTTGTCGCACTGCCTTTTGGTCTGTCCTCTACTTACAGAGTGGTCTTTGCAGCTCTGCTTGTCCTGCTCAGGGCATCCAAGTCACAAGCTATTTAAAATACCTTCTTGTGAAGGTCTCCTCTTGCAGCTATCAGAAAATGTCCACAAGACAATTCAGATGCTCAGATTCATTTGGCTGGGTGAACAATTGCAACACATCTGCTCTCCAGCCTTCCCTTTGCTTGAAATACTTAGGTCTGGTCCTCAGCACATCCCAAGCAAAAGTCTTTCTAGCATAAAAGAATGTTCTTTATAAATCAAGTAGTCTCCTTGTCTTGAATTGCCAATGCTCCAATCTAGTCAAGCAAGGAACTCTCTATCTTGGTGGATCACCACCCTGGCAGGGAAGTCCTTCATTCCCTGTAACTGAAAAGTTATTAAGAAACACATTTCTCTGAGGCTGAAGAGGTGTCTTGCCATCCCTAACCGTCCAAGGAACATGGTCATTGAGCAAAGCCAAGCTTCCCATCAACATCTTGGAGCTCAGAGCAGATTGGACATAAAGCCAAAACCCTTTCTGAAAGGGTACCTGATTAGATTGCAGTCAGACAGTGCTGAAGCAGTGGCCTACATCAACCATCAAAGGGGCATCAGTAGGTAGATAGCCTTGAAGGAAGTGAAACCAATCATCTCTTGGACAAAATCTCACTGTCGAGATCTCTGCAGTCTACATGCCAGGGGTGTACAACTGTTAATTCGACTATATCAGCGACCATCACCTGGTTCAGGGTAAATGGCCTTTCATTTAGATATCTTTAATCGTGTATGCCAAAAATGGGGGATTGCAAATATGTACACCCTAGCCTCCAGACTTAACAACAAAATACCTCTGCTTGTTGCCAGGCCAGGCCTCCGATGTCTCAGAAACGACCCTTTGAACCTATCAGGGATATCCACCTAGAGAATCTCTCGTGCACAGTGGCCGTTTTGGTTACGATCATGTCTGTCAGATGTGTTTCTAAACTGGTGACCCTTTCCTGTAAACATCTTTTCTCATACTTCACAATGGGTTGTCCTATGCTCAATGCCATCCTTTTTTCTGAAAATGGTCTCTGCATTCCACCTAAGTGAAGAAATTGTCTTTTGATGTGTTTTAACATCACCATACTGAAACTGACATTTCTTTAAAAGCAATAAGCTTGCTGATGTAACATCCTGCTTTACACATTGCTCTTATGAATGCTCAATCGTAAGTATTAGACGACAGCCCCCAGTTTAGCTGTTTTAAGCTGGATCTGATCAGATGTGGGTGTTTTACACTTACTTAAGACTGTCTTTTCATGATTTAGATGTAGACCTTTTTTCACAGGGGAGAGAGGGAAAACACAGCAGCGCCATTCTAAGTGTAGATGTTCTGTAAAATCAAGCAATTTAATCAGTTAAACCGCCTCGAAATGTAGGATAAAAAGGCATATCATAATGCAGTATGTCCCGGTGGTGTGATGGCTAGATCCTGTGCAATCCTCCTCCTCGACCCGGGTGTTCTGGTGGTGTCCAGGGCTCCGGGGATAGCAGAGAGGTGCAGAGAGGCTAGCAGCTGATGACATCACCTGGAACCGGTAGACTGCATGCGGTACACGTTTGGAGCATGCACGCCCCTTTCTCAGGCCATGGCTAGGTCTCATGGCCTGAGGAAGGAGCACGCATGGTTTAAACGCACGCAGTCTTCCGGTTCCAGGTGACGTCATCAGCTGCTAGCCTCCCTGCTATCCCCGGAGCCCTGGACACCACCAGAGCGGCTGGGACGAGGAGGAGGATCATACAGGATCTAGCCATCGCACCGCCGGGACATACTGCATTATGATATACCTTTTTTATCCTACATTTGTGAGTTGTTTATTAAATTGCTTGATTTTACCCAACATCCACACTTAGAGTGGCACCTCTATATTTTCCCTCTCTCCTTCTGTGTACTAGAGTTGCTTCTTGCTCTGACAGCCGGCTGCCTTCTATCCCAAGACTTATTTCCACCAAGGAGACATCTTTTATTCCTGGACTCATACCCATTAGGACATTGCCGGATTATACATGTCCACAAGCTTTACCTTACATGTGTGGACTTACATTTTTACCTTTATTTGGTTTAAATACACATTGTTTGAATATACATCTGGGACTGTATTCTAGAGCTCCGCATTTCTTTCCTTTGTTTTTTTCATAGTGACATGTCTGGGCTATTCTGAAGTAAAATGCAATTGTATCCTTGTTACAGGAGAAAGAACAAATGCAGAGATACAATCAGCGCATGGTGGAGCAGCTTCGATTACGGCAACAGCAGGAAAGGGCTCGACTGCCAAAAATCCAGAGAAGTGAAGGAAAGACCAGGATGGCAATGTACAAGAAAAGCCTTCATATCAGTTCTAGTTCTAGTGGTGCAGAGCAGAGAGAGAAGATTAAACAGGTAGGTGGCATAGGTCTAGTCCTGCCTGCTATAGATTTTTAATCTTTCATTTGTAAAGGTATGTGCATGTGTCCATTTCTAATCTGTTCATGGTAATCCAACCAGTTTTTTAAAGATAAACTTCACCCCCTGTACAACATTTCTTTTTCATTCCCCACTTACCTTTTTCTCTGGAGTATTCTTAAAAACATACTCAAAAGCCCAGAAAATCTAGATCTAGGATCTGCTAATCTGCTGCTGCACATGTGGTCCAAAGCTGCAAAGCAGTTTTTCAGACTGATTGTCCATTTTAAAGCCCTGAAAAACACCCTTTTTTTTTTCCTCTCAAGCCCTGTGCTACAGCACACCAGTTGTTCATCTGTGGGTTGTGTTGCACTGTCAGGCAGAGTTGGGACGCCATTAAAACGGTACCACACTGACGATAATGTCTCAATCTAAACTGTGGTACTGCACGTTTAACCGTGTGTTACTACAATGCATAGATGTGAACGAGCCCCAAAACCAAAGCTGTGAAGTAAAGCTATAAACTTGGTCTTAGACTGGTGGATACTAGGACCTATTAGCTGTGAAGTGATCCAGTCCTTTCCTGGTCCTTTTCCCCTAATGTAATGTTTAGTGAGTCGGATAAGTTATAGAGCCAGTACCCTCCTTTATACTTTGCCTTTGTTAGATATGCTAGTAGTAGACTGTTCATACTGCATGTTTTGAAGGGCATGTCCTTGTAATACTAAGCAGACCACAGAGAAAAAAAATACCGCTTTGGCTGAAAAATAATAAGGTTTCAACAAATGTGATTTTAAACACATCAGAGCTAAAGATGCACTGTTAAGGCATGGGGTCAATTCATAAAAGGTTAAGGTTTGCTCTAAAAGTGCCAAAAACGCAGTATGATTTTTCAGGGTGTTCTTGATCTGCTTGATACATTTATGTTGCTGTCTTTAATTGCAGACCAAATTAAAGTCTTTTTTTTTTTTTTCTCCTTTCCAGTTCTCTCAGCAGGAGGATAAGAGGCAGAAAGCAGAGAGAGCACAACAGCAGCAGAAACACGAGCACCATCTACTGGAAATGCAGGCTCAGTGTGACAGCAATGCAAGGGAGCTGCAGCAGTTACAGGTGAAGACAAGCCAAAGATTCTATGTGTATATGTGATGTGTTATGGATCTTACAGAATAATAGACTATTTTAGTATTTTAAGTTTTTAATTTTTACAAGATTGTAATCATGCTTTGCAGTTTTTCTTTTTTCTGCATAAGTTTTATTTTATAGATAGGTATTTGTGGCGATATTGTAGCGTGTCTAGGTAGCTTCTACTTTTTCATGCAATTTCTTTTACCTACTTTCATGCTATTGCCTTCAAACATGCACTGATTGTGTTAGCAGTTTATTTTTTTACTTTGGGCTTTTCCAGGCCTTTAGGACAGAATCTGTGTTTACATTTGAATTTATTTCAATAACTTTTGTTAAACCTCCCAAGCCCACATTTCCTGTTTTAGTAGACTACAGTGCAGTTTAGGTCATTGCTGAGCTCTACAGCCCCACATTAAATGGTGTCAGTGACTCCAGCTAAGATGCTGCCATATTTTCTTCCTGTTGGTCATTCTTTGTTCCTCACATGTATTTGCATTCTTTGGATTGCTTTTTAGAATGAGAAATGTCACCTTCTAGTGGAGCATGAGACACAAAAATTGAAGGCAATTGATGATGGTCACATTCAGATGCTGAGAGACTGGAGAGAGAAGCTGAGACCCCGTAAAAAGGTATGTACATAACATTCTCACCTTGTATACACTTTGTGTGTGGATCAGTTTTAATTCTTCCTTGTGGTTTCATTTAGCATATACACTTCCCAGGCTTGAAAACTGTCCATCCGAATACTTTAATATGCATATATGTGGTGGGAAGCATTTTGTATGCATTAGAAACATAGAAATTGTAACATTTAAAAAAAAATAGGCTTAATTGCTATAAAACTGTCCAAACTGTAAAAAAACCTGAGCTTTTGCTGCTGACCGTTTCTGAAAAATGGTAGTTGGGTGTTTGTTATGCTAAACCAGTGGTTCTTAACCTTGTTGGAGGTACTGGAACCCCACCAGTTTCATATGCGCATTCACCGAACCCTTCTTAATTGGAAAAATAAAATATGATTTTTAAAATTCAACACATAGGTATATATTTAGGTATATATTTATACATAGGTGCACAAAATGAACAAAACTGTTAAGAACAAAGAAAAAAATCATTAAAACATGATTTTCACACAAAAACAAAAACATAATAATGAATATTTACTGCACGAATCATATGAGTCGGGTGTGGGTCTTCACCTCCGCCGAACCCGCGAGACTGACTCACCGAACCCCTGGGGTTCAATCGAACCCAGGTTAAGAACCACTGTGCTAAACCAAAGGCTACAGTTCATTTAGAGCCACTGACTGAGAACAAGTATGATGATGAGGAATGTTTGAAGCCCTTGCCATCATACCTGTACTCGGTCAGTGACTTGAAGTATGAAGCAAGTGGGTCAATGTGACAGCTATGCAAGCATGATAGCACAGCCTAGCCTGTCTTCATATTTCTGTAATGACAGGTTTGTTTTCAATGTGACATGTTCACCGCAGGATCACTTCTTAACTAACCCTGGACTGTAAAGGGTATCTGTCTTACCTTTTCAGTGGCCTGTCTCTTCAAACGCTGAATTTTTCCCAGTAATACCTGTTCCTACTGCCTTACACTGTGTTTTCTCTTGTCTGCTCACAAGTCACAAATGGGATGTATGAGCCAGCGGAAGGAAGCACAGCTTGTAGTAGGGGCAGTAGTAGTATTAGGTATTGAACTCACCTGTGAGTTTCGAATACCTGCCACGGCAAGAGAGTAGTAAAGAGCAAGAACTTGAAAAAGTAAGTATAGATGCTCTTTTTTTATAAACTGGGAGGGTTACTTTTAAAAGTATTTCAGTGATGAATGAAAAAAAAAAAAAAAAAGGTGATTTTAATAAACCAATATAAATAAAGACAATATCAGACTTGAATTTTTAACATTCAAAAGCAAATAAAGACCAATGACATTAGCAGTTGGTTCTCTTTGCTGTGGCAGTTGACAGGAATGGTGGTTACATTTTCCAAAAACGTTCCTCCTTGGAACACTACAAATTCTGGACGAACCCTCTGCACAGAAAACTGTGCACATAAAGATGGATTTTAATTCACATATATTGTAATACATATTTAAAGCAGTAGTATGGACAAAGGTCTTTTGGACCTACTTCTCCTGTGGGCCACAGGAGTGCACTTAGTTCTTTTGTCACTCATCTGGTCCAGACTCTGGAGGGATCTTGACCTTAATGTCAGGGTCCACCCAGACACCTGAGTGACAGGTGGCTCAGCCTCTCAGTTGCTTCTGCCCCATCCACAGCCCAGTGCTCCCGTGAGCACTGGAGGTGCAAAGGCCGAGAGCTGATGTCTTACTGTCACTGTTCAATGAAGACCAAGAACTGAGCAATCAGCGGTCTTTGATTGCTTAGTTTTTGGTCTTAGAGGCAGTGGGGGACAGATGCAGCACCCACCTAGGTGAATAAAATTGCTTGTTATTTTGAAATCGCACTTTTTTTTTTTTTTTTTAAGCTGGCCAACTGCATCACCATACACTGTTGTGCAAAATGCATATGCTCTAGTGGACATATTGCCAATATGGGACAGATAGACACAAGGTGCTGGAGAGCAACAGGTCTAGGTCTGGCCATGACTCACACCATTCAATAGAAACAAGCTACGACCGTGCTCAAATCCAAATAGTAAAGGAGTGTGACCACATGTTAAGCTGACCAACCAGTTGCTGTCTAACCCAAACTGTCTTCGCTGTAAGGAGAGGAAAGAAAGCATTGGGGATTTCAAATCCCCGCTGCTTTCTCTCCTCTCCTACCACTGACATTCAGCATGGGATGCCTGCAGGGAGGTTTCCCGCACCGCTCCTGCGTGAACTCGGGCTATGACAAGCCTGGGTTCACACAGGAGCAGTGGGGAAACCGCATGCCATTTGGACAGGAATCGCATTCCTGTTCAAATCCCATGCTAATCTTTGTGGGGCATTTTGCATCCATTAAGGCAAATCACACCGCAAAGTATCGGTACTCCGTATCGGCGAGTATGTGACCGAAAGTACCGGTACTCATACTCACCGATTAAAAAAAAAAAAATGGTATCGGTGCATCCCTAACTTAAAGGCATTTACAGCATTAGGGTAAAAAATGTCAATATACTAATCCTTGTGCGCTGCTACAGATCCAATCCAACCCCATGTGCTGAAAACATCAAAGATGAAAAGTAAAAGTAAATCAAATATATTTAAATCCAATCCAATGTGTTGTGCTAAAACACAACAAACCAAATTGCATATATATATATATATATATATATATATATATATATATATATATATATATAATTCTACTTCTGTGCCATAAAAGTTTGTGTGTGTGTGTAATACACCAGAAACAATAAAAAATATTTAAATGTGAACCAGCTGCAGTGCACTCATTGAACTCTCATACTAGTCATCAAGCCTATAAAAAAAAACACAAAATGGTACTGCGCTAATCACATAAACATGTGTGTCATGTTCAATCCAATAAATTGTGAACCAAAATACAATATATAACATAAAATCTCACTGTGTTATTGTAGAATTATCCCAGAGCACATATGTGCATGTTAACCCAGCTGATATGACAATCAGTTTTGATATGTATAAGTGAATGTCCAAATATAACAGACAGCAGCCTTCCAGGATGAGATTTCAGCCAGATTTTCCACCTCCTTATTTTGCATGCAGAATATATTAAACTGTACCACCGCCACCAGGTGAACTCTTACCTTAGGGATTTGACCTCCCACTTAGTGTTCAGTCTATCAATGCTTTTTGTCCTCACAACAGTACCTGGTCCTCCTCTCCACCCGGGGCTCCAGCTTCAACCATGAATCCCCTCTTCCAACAAACTCCACTCCATTACATGTAATGGGGTTACATGCGGTTTTCCATGTAAAACCCTGCAAGTAGCAGGGTTCAGAGCCAATGGTCGTTATCTGCAGAAAAAAAAAAAAATAATATATATATAATCTGCCTATTGCTATCACAAGGGATGTTTACATTCCTTGTGACAGGAAGAAAAGTGATCAAAAAGAAGAAAATTAAAATGAAAGTGTAAGAATAAATTAATTAAAAAAAATTTAAAGCACCTCCATTCTCGTGCACAAAAGATGAACACATGCGTCTGTCTCGTACACACACGCAAACAGTGATCATCCCATACATGTGAGATGTCACCATAAACATCATATCATGGGCAGTAATTCTAGCACCAGACGTCCTGTGTAAATCTAAAGTGGTGACCTATAAAGGCTTTTAAAGCATCGTCTATAGAGAGTAAAATGTATGCCATTTGTTGCTGCTGCACAGGAGTGCACAGTTTTTAAAGCGTGACATGTTTGGTATCTATTTACTTTAACATCATCATTTATATTTTACAAAAAATTAGGTTATGTATTTTTTTTCTTTTTGCATTAAATATAAAAAAAATTTATTAAAAAAAAATTGTGTGTTTTAAAAACCGCTGCGTAAATATTGTTTGACATAAAAAATTGCAAAACCCACCAATTTATTCTCTAGGACCTCCTAGCAAAAAATACAAAACATGAAAAGCTTAAGTTGGCATGAAGCCCCTTTCATTTTTAAAAGCCCCAGATATTCCTAACAGCATCTCTGCCTAATAAAAAACATCAAAAATTTTCCATCCTGGGAATTTTTTTTTTTTTTTAATCAGGACAAGTAGATTATGAAGGAAAAGTACATTTGAACCCAGATTTAGTTTTTGGACAAGTAGTTTTTTTTGGTTTTTTTTTAATTTGCACACCCCTGCAGGGTCAATTATGGTAAGCATAACTCCCCAGCCCTTCCTTAACAATACACAAAAAGGCGAAAGTGAAGTTGGATTAATTAAGTAAAAAGCAGCAATGTAAATGTGTTTTTGTTTTTTTTTTGTTTGTTTGTTTTTTACCATATGAATGGGAGCATGCAACAAATACAAAGTATGCATTAAAGGATAAGTTCACCTTTTGGAGCATGTTACAGGTTACATCCATATTTCAGGTGTAACATGCTCCAGCACCTCTCCCTGCATCTCAGGCCTACCCAACTGTGAAACTGGTTGGGGGATCTTCTCCTTCACTGATCACTGGTGCAATGCTCCACAGACTCCTGTGCAAGCAATAATAAATGCATATTACAGTAATTTATTTAATGAAAAAAAAAACAAATTTATTTTTTACAGGAGAACTTAAAATTTAATCCATTTTGCCTGCAAAATGTGGAAATATGCTTTAACCACTTTGCGTCTAGGGCAGTTCTTACATTTTTTTTTCTATACACATGCTAAAATTGGCATTTTTTTAAAAATTACTTAGAAACCTCCAAACGTACATTTTTTTAAACAGATGCCCTGTAGAATAAAACTGTGGCAATTGTATTTTTTTTCCACACAATATTTGTGCAATTTTTTATCAAATACATAATGTCAGGAAAAAATACACTGGATTGAATTTTAGTACATACTGTCACAATTTAATACCCAATTTCTGATAAATTCTAAAAGATAAGGATGCGTGGAGTAAAGAGATACCAGACATGTTAAGACTCAAAATTGAATCAACCAAAGAGTCGGCCCATGCATAGAATGCATGAAGGTGAAAAACCTTTCAGCCTTCAAAACCACTTTAAATCACAAACAAGAATTATTCTAAGATTTTTAGCTTTTATTTTTTTCCCTTCTTTTTTTTTTTTTACTTTGCACCAGGCACTGGAGGACGACTTAGACCAGAAGAAGCAGGAACAGGAAATGTTTTTCCGCATGAGCGAAGTAGAAGTCGGACGGACAAGGGGGATCAGTCCAGAAACCCGCCAAGTTTTATGCCTACAGTTCAGCGGAAGCGTCATAAAGTTTTGTTTAACAAAAGAGAACAATACAGAATGTAAAGTTCATCTGCAGACAAAGCTGGACAAAGATTTCTTACAACGTCACCAACTACTTCTATTGGTGCTCCCAGCTTATCTGTAAAGATGGATGTAAGTTATCTCCAGGACATTCTAAAATCTGAAGATCCCACAAACTATAGGAAGAATTCAGTGTTCATTATTATACGTGATTTAAGGTTTTTGCTTGTGTCTTAAAAGGCAATAACACAACAGACCGTTACACCATATGCAGGAATGGTTTCAGGAACAAGCCATTGTTTGGCTCTTTGTATGGTTCTTCTAAACAAAAAAAAAATCCAATGTGCTTCCATTTAAAAATAATTTAGAAACTCTGTACATACTGTCAGTTTATTCATTATCCATTGCATGCATCGTCACCAAGATGATCCGTTTACCACTGTGCTAATCTTTGTGTCACTTCATTGTGTGTCTATCACTCATGTCATCATTGCAGATGCTTCTGCAGCACTTCTTCCTACATGGTGAACTCTCCATGTGATGTTACATGCCAAATAACCTAACAGAAATATTTAAAGAGACTCTGTTAGTTTCCCACTCAGAGAAAAACTCTTTTGTAAGAAAAAACCTTCTCTATACTCCTCTGCCTCCGCATGACTTGGAGTGCAGAGTCCTAATCGCTGTGCAAGTTCTGTGTCAGAGCTCCCACATGGGTAACTTATTCCACATCTTCATGCTTGGGCATGGCAAGTGGGTACTTAGGACTGAGAACTGCATCCTGGGAAGAGAACCAAGGGGTGGGTTTTTTCTTACAAGAGAACCTGTTACTTTTCTCCTAGAAGAGTAAGTTAACTGATTCTCATTAAGTCCAAAGAAGCCCTGTAATTTAGATGCAGGCCAGAATATAATCTATTTATATTTGGAGTTTAAAATCTTTGTGGCTTATTGAACGAGGCAGAGCAAGGAATGAATAACCCACAGAAAGCAATCAGATTTCAGTCATGTCTTTGAAATTGAATTCCAGTCTGAATGCTGTGGGTTATTGCTTTTTTTCTCCCCCTACCGTATCTATTTTATTTAATTAAAGCATGACAAGGGACCAAGTGAAAAAACATTTCTTTAGCCATCTACCCAGTAAATGTGCCTTCTAGATATTTGCATAGGGGTTTAATATATTTCATAGCTTTTTGACTTGAAGTTGATTAGTTCATATGTTGCTGTTTGAAAAGTAGCAGACTGCTGGCCAGTCATTAGTGAAGGTCAAGTTAAAGAAGTGAGGGGGATCACTTATAATATATGAAGTGAAGGATCAGTATAAAGCTTGTATTTTGGAAGGGCTGATGGCTTATTTACAATGGCAGAGCAAAAAGTGAATATTGTCCATGGTGTGGTACCCCAGAGCAACCCGATCAGAGTACAGTTTGACGGGCTAGTGATAGATCAATGCTGATTAGTTGCTCCATATTACCACTCTTGACACACTGCTCTTTGCCGCCTTAGAATAAGCCCAAAGAATTTAACAAGACGACAGTAATAATCAGGCATACTACTTTGCTTTCTAATCATTTTACACTTAATATATCTGACATTATGTAGCCAGAGACTAGCTCCGTTCATATGGAAAATATGCGTTCCCTGACAGGAAGAGAAGCTATTGGCTGCAGCTGGGAACAGTTTTTGAATTCTGCATGATGTGACTGCAGCCAACAATCTATAAAAACTCTGAAAAGCCCCCTTTGCTAATTGCTGCTAACTCCTGGAATGCAGTGTTTCTGTTTTTCAATTCTGTAGCTGTATTGGAAAAACCTATATATCCATACTGGAAAGTGATTTTCATTTAGACAGAGAATTCTGCAAGAAACTTGAATGCAGTTCCAATATTGTTCAGAAGGGTTTTCAGCTGGGGTAAAAACACTGTGCAATGTATATAAGAGTATCTAATAAAGTAATAAATGAAAATTGAAAGCTCCTTCTTGTGTGTGTGGTTTTATAGATTTCTTTTAATAAATGATACCTGTCTCTTGTATTTAGTAAAGGAAGTAAATTAAATTATAATTAAACTCAAAACTTTTTTTTTTTTTCTTTAGTTTTGGATAGACTGGAGAAGGATTAGAACACCTGTCCAGTTTGTATTGCTGTCTGTGCCACATTTAGGGAGATTCATCCTCTATTTGTCTTGTTTACCATTATCATTGAAAGTGAAAGTAAAAGAAAATCCCACATTTCGGGTTGTCCCCAGAAAAGTAATAGAGGCGAAATATTCCAATGGGGACACAAGTTCCGGACCTGGGGGTCCCCAAGGAATTCCCTTAAGTAGCAGGGATTTCCTTTCACTTCCTGTTTGGCTATTGGACAGGAAATGAAGGGAAATCTCAGCAATGGGACACAGATGGCGAAAAGAAATCTGACAGGTGTTATAACCCTTCCTTACTCTATCCAAAATGAAAAAAAAAATTTTTTGCCTATAGTTCTACTTTAATCTTACCAGATCATCTGCTGTCATTAATGTATTTTGGTCAGGACACGAAATGTCTATTTGTCAGCACATTTTTATTCTGATCTCAAGCAAGTTAAGTAAATGCTTTTCCTGTTTTTTCTGACAAGACATTTTGAATCCAACAAGGACTGTGTAACAATTTCTTATGTCCTTTAACAAGTTCCCAACTGCACTCCCCCTGCGTGCCCCCAGCGACGTGCACCTGGCGCCGCTGGTGATCGCTGTGTACTACGGACACAGCTGATCACGGGGTACGGTAAACAGCCAATCACAGCGGCCTTTTACCACGTGATCAGCTGTGTCCAATGACACAGTGATCACCGGGTAAATACAGTTGTCGGTTCTCGGCTGCCTGTCACAGCGTGAGGAAAGTACTGCAGAGAACCAGCAGTTGTCAGCAAAGGGATCAGCACTGATCATCATGGCACTGATGAACAGTGCCCTGAAGATCAGTGCCACCCACCTGTGCCCATCCGTGCCACCCATCTGTTTCACTCAGCAGTGCCACCTACCTTTGCCCCGCAGTGCCAACCACCTGTGCCCACCAGTGCTGCCCATCAGTGCCCTCTATCAGTGCAGCCTCATCAGTGCCAGCTCATCAGTGCCACCTATCAATGCCGCTTATCAGTGCCTCCTATCCATTCCCATCAGTGCCTCCTATCCGTGCCCATCAGTGCTGCCTATCAGTGCAGCCTCATTAACGCACATCAGTGAAGGAGAAAAATTACCTGTTTGCAAAATTTTATAATAAATACAAAGAAAAACTTTGTTTTTCAAAATTTTTGCTCTTTTTTTGTTTATAGGGCAAAAAATAAACACTCAGTGGTGATTAAATACCACCAAAAGGAATCTCTATTTGTGTGAAAAAAAATGATAAAAATGTCATATGGGTATAATGTTGCATGACCACACAATTGTCATTCAAAGTGCAACAGCGCTGAAAGCTGTAAATTGGCCTGGGCAGGAAGGGGGTATAAGTGTCCAGTAGGCAAGTGGTTAAGGACCCCCTTTTTTTGTGTCAGAGTTCCTGAATTGCTTTTTGTCACATATATAGAGCTCGTTCATACCAACCTTATTTATACACTGCGGTTCCATTCCTTTTGAATGGAAATCCAACACAACTCCACAATGCACTCCACCATAGCACACTCGGGGGTGTATTTACTAAAGCTGGCTGACTAAGAATCTCTTGCACCTGTGCATAGTAGCCAATCAGCTTCTAACCCAAGCTTGTTTAGCAATACAACGTGTAAGCTGATTGGTTTCGATGCTGAAGTGCATGAGATTCTGAGTGAACCAGCTTTAGTAAATAAACCCCACAATGTTTCGTGCTGTGTTTCGCTGCAACAAAATATGCAGCCTGCACTATTTTTTGTTCATTCCTTCCATAATGTGAATGGACTCTCAGAGGGGAGTCTCAGCCTTTTCTTTTATTATGAAGTATGGAAACATGAAGACTCTAATGCAGTGGTGGTCAACTTTCTTGATACTGGGGACTTCAAGTGTGGCTAAAGAGATAAAAGGCTTGCTATACAAGCGTATAAATTCCCCTTGGGGGAGATCTCGACATACAGTTACTGTTAATAGGTCATATTTTACAGAAGGGTACTCCAAAACTGTGGTCATAGTAAGTAAAAAAAACATATAGGGGACCAAGAAGGCCACCCTTAAAGAGGCTTTAACGGAGAACCAACCGCGGTGTAACCAAACTATACAGCTTTTTTTGTGATCAAGTTAGTGTAAAATTAGGTCAAATGACCAATAATCCTCCAATCACTGTTAAAATAAGGCTAGATAAGTTATCACCTTAAGTTACAAGCCCAGGCACCGCTCACCCACTCACACACACTGCTATTCATACACTGGATCTTGTGGTACATGTAGCATAACAGGCCATCAGTCTCAGGAACAGACAGTCAGTGTAGACTGGTTTTAGCATGGTGGACTGCTCAGATCGACTTGTCCGCTGCCACTCTAAGAGTGATAAAAAATAACCCCTTCCAGAAAATGGTGGCCAGGTCCTAATGGGTCGCCAGATGTATCATAAAGCAAACACACCAAAGTCCTTATATGGGTAGATATCCTTTCATGATCTGTTGTCATATACAACATAAGTTGCATGTATAGGGTCCATTGTTGTAGCTGAACATCATATAGGAATTGGTGCCCCAGTCTGTGTTGGATAGGATTAGCCCACAGTAAATAGCTAAGCAGACCTATGGTACAGACATAGCAATCTGGTCAACCATAAGGTAAATCCACCAGTAAGTGTCCATATGCAGACTCTGCCCTTGCAACATGTATCAGCATAAGACAGTGTATTGTGGACAGCCCCAATAGGCACGAGGAGCATAACTCATGAACTACTGCAGGATATACAGTATCTCACAGAAGTGAGTACACCCCTCACATTTTTGTAAATATTTTATTATATCTTTTCATGTGAGAACACTGAAGAAATTACACTACAATGTAAAGTAGTGAGTGTACAGCTTGTATAACAGTGT